GTAAATTTTTAAATTTTATCTATGGGCTTAAAGTATGTATCTTGGAGAACAGGTAAGTTTATGAAAAATAGTGGTTTGGGTTCTGATGGCCGTTGTTATACTGTTAATCCTAATATGGCAGAGAATAGAAATGTTCCTAATATGGCAGAGAATAGAAATGTTATTATGTCGTAAGGCTAAATCAGAGCAAAAAAGGTTTATTCTGCAATAGGAGACTGGAGGAACAAGAGCAATTAAAATGTAAACAGGAAGTTGTAAACAAGAAGTAGCAACCCTTTCTTTACTTGACCAGTATATAGGCTATACAAACTACTGAGATATCAAAAGTTTTATATATGTACACAGCCAACATAATATCAAAATATATTTTATTCTGGACCTCTTTCAGATCTGATTCAAATTACAGTTGTCAAAGCAATACAATGCAAAGGGAAACTGCAACAATAACAACAACAAAAAATGTGCCTATAAAGGATAAAAGGGTCATTGGGGACAAATCATTGTGATGTGAAACCAAAAACATCGTTAAGTGTAATTAACATGGTCCAGGACAGCATAGAACAACTATATCAGTCTTCCTTACACAATAATCATGAAAACTGAACAATAAAAGTTCTTTAACATGTACAAAAAACTGTCATGGGCTGGTTTACACTTTTACAACAGTTTTAAAGTTAACTGGATAACTAAAGAAATGATGCAGACATTTTAATCCAGTGCTATAGGTAGGCTCACAGAATTAGACCCAAAGGATTTGTAAAAATCAAAATTAAAACATTAGAGCTACAATGTCATAGTGAGGAAAGAAGAAAATTACTTCTGTATTCAGGGATTACAGAACTACAAAATGTAGTCTGTATGTTTTTGTTTTTAATGAGATGGGTAAGTACATCAGACTAGATACAACATGCAGAATGTTTTCCTGAATTTATCCAGAAATTCCAAAGGAAACATCATGAAACAGCTTACTAGGAAGAAAAAAAAAATATGCCCTAGTTATTCACCCTGCTTCAACACTGTCAACATAAAGGCAGAAATAAAGAATGCTATTAATACTTCGGAACTACTAGTATAAGACATCAAATTTCTAAATCAGTGTATTAAAAAAGTGAACACGTCTTCTTTTTCTTCTCTTGTCTACAATTAACTAGAATCATGTTAAAAACATTTGATAGTGAATGTGACACTTCAGAGCTACTACCAGAGGAGTAATTCATAACTTCCCTACCCTCCCTTCTATCCCTGCTGATTCAGGAGAGGGGGTGGGGGAACCACCAAAAAACTAGGGTCTCTTGTAGATTTGCTGCTGTTCCCCAAAATGTTGGCATTTGCTGCCATGCCACAATGTTGGTCCACTGAAAATAGGATTTCTGCAGAAACTGTCAACAGTAATTCACCATATGCAAGTACCATCCTTAGCATGCAAGAAACGCAGGTTCTGTAGAAATGTACTATGTGCTTCAGAAAATTGCTATTAAATGAGTCAATTGCATTGCATCTGAAATTTATTTTTCTTCTTTTCTAGTAAAACTTGTCATTTTTGCTCACATAAGGATGGTAATTTGCAATTCCTCTTAAGAGCAAAAAAAAAAAAAAAAAAAAGGCATACTCTTCCTCAGGCCTCTACTCAATAGTTTACATTACTCTTAAAATCATTCTACATAAACAGCTCCTTAAAAATAGTACTCTCTCATTAAATCTAATTTGACAGAAGTTTAAGAAAAAAAGGAGTGCTTTATAAGTTAAGTGAAAAAGTACAAATCTTTGGCCTTTCTCTTGACATTTTTACATGTCAAAAAGCAAGAAACCTTCATGTAATTCCATCTAGTAATTACTTTTTGCACCATAATTTGTTTTTTACACCACAAAAGGAGGCACTTTCAGTATCTGTATAAGGTGTTTAATCCTAAAGCATACTTACCTAGAGAATAGTTAATTAAACACAATTAGATATACTCTAAGAACTATTAGGAAATGAAAAGTTCCCACTTTTGAAAGTCAGTGATGGTACCTGATCAACAACAGGAAATGGGAATTGGAACAAATTACAAGAATTTATGGGATTACCTACATGGATAAGAACAAAGATATTACTTTATGAGGTTTAAGAGTGACAACTGCTCTTTCTTTATTCTACTTTACTCAATATTCAAGTTTTCCTTTCTATTCTCACTCATAATAAGATAAGATTCCTTTCTTACAGTAGCTTATATAGCAATGATATATAATGAATACCTCAGGAAAAACCGACTGGATTCAGGTGATCTTCAGGAGTAAGTTCTCGGGAAAGGAAAAAAAAAAAAGGTAAATTGAGCAAGAACCTCAACCATAGAACTTTACAGGCTGTGAAACTTGGTCTCTTGCAATCATGTTAACTGCTCAAATTAGAGACAATCTTATTTTTGTCTGTTGGAGCAGCATCGTGGCACATCAGCAGGCAATGATGATGTTGAAACAGCAGCAAAATTAAATAAATAATCATATGCTCATAAAGAACCCAAGCCTACAAAATGGAAACCTTTCAGATAAGTTTATACTTAAAAGACCCAAGGATAATAAAGCTCTGTATTTATAATCTTTTATATGTCCTACTGTGGCTATTATGCTTTAAGTAAAATACCTAGAGTAAAAAGAAAAATAAAAACAGAAAAGATGACAATACCATAAAAATGTAGCTGTCTATTTTGGCAGCTATGTTACAGAATTTCTTGACTATTTTTTAATTGGCTGGGAAAAAAAAAATCACTACCTGTATGCAGATGAATAAACTGTCCATATCAAAATACAAAAGTACTATCAATAATCACCTCTGACTTTCAGATTTAAATTCAGTGCAATTGACAAATGCATCGCTAAAGGAAAATGCAGCTTAAACATACTCAAAACATTTGCGTCTATTCCTGGGAGCACATTTAAAAATTATTGCACAGATTTTTTTATTTTTACTTATTTTTTTAAACAACAACAGAGGTCAACCACAGATGTGGACCTCTAGCAATAAAAGCAGGATTTCAAGTGCCAGATATTCAGCGTATTAGGTTTCCTACATAAGTCACAGGGTAATAGTTCTAAATATCTATAATGTGTTCCAAAACCCTAAAAACAGCTGGCACAAAACCATCATGAATGACTGCCTCTCTGGATGTAAATTTTAAAAAATATTATTACAGTATCATAGCCCCCACTAACAACAATTGGGGTATATTTAACAATGTATTGTGAAATTAAGTGTATTTACTCTCTTTACCAATAGCAAATGCTACCCTACCTTAGTAAAACCAAGACTTGCTTCAATCAATGCTGTTTATAAAATAGCAAAAACAACAAATGCTGGAAATTAAAGCTGCATTACTTGGGTTAAATCAGTTTCTATTTAAATTTAGAACACAGGTTAAAATTTAAGTAGTAAAGCCCTCAAAATAATTAGTGACAGAAATAGTGTTATAAATTTTCTAAGCTTGATAATAAGTAATTCCTTAATTAACATAAAATTGACAACTCTTCTCTTCAAAATGGAACACTCCTGGATTCTCATGTTAATCATGAAACCCTGTTACTCGCACATAAAACCATGGCCTCATGCTGTTATCTGTATATTTTTGTTTTGAGCCTCATGAGTACAAGGAGTTTAATTTGATAACTATTTTTAGGAAAATACTTGATATTATAAACAGATTAAAAGACATGATATAGTAGTGATTAATGAAAATGGAAAAAAATATATATAGCAGCTTAAACCTATCTATATTTGAAAATATGTAGTCACAAGTACCACAAATGCAGAATCAGAGCAGCAGGGAGGTTAGTGCAATTATCCTTTTTCTTCTTTTTAAATTCTGAATCATTGCTATTTAAAAACACCTTGAAGCAAGTCTTTTGTTTTAAAGATTGTTTTTTAAACTAAGGTAGCAAACATTTTACCATGTAATGGCAGTGTTATATGCCGTTATCTTGCTTTGTATAAAGAAAAACAACATGAGAGATTTTTAATACTGGAATTTGGTTACATTATATATTAAGCTTCTACATATAATGATGGGCACTTTGAGAAGCTATTCCTTATCCAGAAACATTTTAATCTCTTAAAAAAGCAAAACAAACAACAGAAAAAAACCCCAAATCTACTTTGCTCCTTTTCACAATAGTGCACATTTTAACCATAATTTAGTTATGGCTACAAAACATCAGAAGAATTTTTTTCTTATGCATCTTCAGTATGATATATTTTTTTAAAAACCCAAACATTTTGTGCCCTTCTAGTCTTGAATTGGCAGAAATATGTCCCAAAAAAGAAACTATTGCATTTCAGCCACATCACCAAAAACCCAGAGCATAATACCCTTTTACTGATGTGTCTTAGAGATTGACATGACCAAAGTCATATATTTTTATTTAATTTCCAACTCCCTTTTCCCACAACATGCACCAATTGAATATATGCTCTGGGAGCCATAAAATGTACCAAACATCTACCTCTTCAAAAGAATGCATTAAAATATTTTTAAGTTTTTTTTTTTGTTTGTTTAAAAGGTGAAAAAAATATAAACAAGAAACTGATTCACTCCCTTACTTCATGCATCCATTAACTAAATCAAAAACAAAGTTTAAAAGCAAGAACAAACTACTGCTGCAAGTTTTTGTAAGTCCATTTTCTCTGTACATACAAACTGCTTACTGAAGGGGAAAAAAAAAATATAATCCATGGTGTGTCTGCTGATTGAAAGGGAGAAACAAGACTGTCATTAGTATCCAAAAACTGGTACATGTATGATCTGCTTTTATAAGGTATATTTCTTTCTCTTCTGTTTTTCATATCCAAAACTTCTAAATGCTATCTTGGGGGCACAGCAGATTAGATTCCAGCACTTGGTGAACAGAATTCACAAGCTGTGACAAAACTGTCATCTTCAGGGTGCAATTTTGTTTATATACACTGTATGTATATATTTTTTTTAGATTTGGCTGTAGTGGACTGGCCATGGTTCAAGTGGGACTATAGCAGTACATGGGTCAAGGACAGTCATTTTGGCTATGTACACATTCATAGTCGGTCCATGGCTTCCAACTAGTAGCGCTATTTCCGAAGGTCTAATACACAAACCTGTAAGAAATTAAAATAATCAGCCAGTAAGCCCAGAGTTTTATTGTACATTTTATATAATTTAACTTTAACATTTCTGTAGTACAGCTTGCAATTTGCTGCATCTTTCCAACTTCACAAAACTAGAAAAAAAGCAACAGTAATCTTGGAAATGGCACTTTACCAAAATAAATCATATAGAATATCTAAGTGGACAAAGGAAACAATGAATTAATATCATTGGGGGGAAAAGAAAAAAAAAACCCACAGTAAAATTTGTAGGGATTACTCTCTGTTAACTAAGAAGTAGAGGGGAAAAAAAGGAAAAAAACAGAACCAAAGTTCAAAATAGACCATTCTCTATTTCCCCAACCCTAATGAAAAACAGTACAAATTATATCAAGCTACACTCCTTGGAAGGAAGATGGGGCAATCTACTTCCGTAGTGATACTGCCTCGGAAACCCAAGGAGGGGTCACTATAAGTCGGGTCCGACTCAACAGCACATAACAACAACATAGTTTTACTTAACAGCTAGTGGCTATGCCTCCTCCATCTTCCCTTTGCTTTTAGAGCTTTGGAAGCCATAACCAGTATTTCTGTAAAGAACTGACCAACTTTATCCTAAAATTTCTCAGTAACACACATTTCTCAATGCAGGAATCACCTGACTCTTAATTCCCTTTCCGCTGGAATACCAACACACTTCTGTGGGGAAGAGAAGGTAGAAATGGGGATTGAAAATTCAAACCACTATTTATTCTCTTAGACTGTTAATTTCCCAACAAAAGTTTACATTAAAAGTAACATTAATTCTTGATTACGAAAATTCTCATTTGGCAAAAAGTCCAGATCTTGTTTACATTTTTTGAATGCAATGAATGTGGACAGTATGCAGCCTTCAGGGAAAAAAGATGACCAATATCCTATCTTTAAATTTATTTACTGGGAACATCTTATCGTACTTACTGAACCATCTGATGCACTGGCTCCAACTTTGTCTCCCGCTGCATTCCAGCAAACTTCAAAAATTCCACCTGTTCCCCTATAGCTGTGAACTAGAGCACCTGTCTAAAAAAACAAAACAAAACAAACAAAAAACTAGAATCACAAAATGATTATGTATCATTATAAATGTAAATATTGAAGTAAATGTATTATATGGCTTTATTTCTAGCAGTATGAGTTGGGGCTTAGCTTCAACTCCAAAATAAATCTAAGTTATGAGACGCTAAAAACACTAACCTACTCTCAACAGATCACATACATACATTCAGTTTCTCCAGTGTTGAAAAACTTTTATGCCAAAGTATCTTTGGCCTCTTTGACATAGTTAATAACCATAAATAACTACAAGTAAATATTCCATGTACATCATGTAATGTATTTTTCTTGTTACTGAAGGATGCATGATTTTGACCAACATGTGGAGAACAAAATAAATTCAGAATTTCTTGGACAAAATTTCTAAAGTGGAAGTACAACTAACTAGTAAAGACAACACCAGAAAGGTCTGTTAGTTACTCTATTTTTACCAAATAGCCCTTAAGCTAAGGTAATTATAAAAGAAGCTAATATAAGAAATGTACATTATTTTTCAAAGTATTTGTTATACATTTTTTAAAAAGTACAATGAGGAACACTAATTATCTCACCAATTTAAATGAATCACAGATAAAGCTACATTATTTCATTCCTTGAGCAATGGAAACAAAATCATCCAGCTGTCAATGAGAAATTAAAACTCAACCCTGAGAATGTATTCACCTATGAAACTAGACATTAAGTAAGGCAATGGTAGTGGCTCTGGTATGAAAACTGGAGAGAAATGGCAAGTATGTTTCTGGTACTCTGCCCTAACACACCTAAAAAATATCTCTGCAGCTTTATAGTGACGGAAATAATCAAGGTAGATGTACCTAAAAAAAGCATGGCAGCAAACCATGTACCCTGTAAATACCTACCCAGAGAGCAGTCCCTAAGTTAACCAGTGGAGTTTGGAAAACTATGTTCTCAAATTAAAACTGGGCAGGCCCAACTGATTTCTTTCTTAGCTAAAATTTCTCACAATTTATGAGATTAATGGGAAATTTGCACATAGTAACCCGTTGTTGTCGAGTCAACTCCACTAGGCCTTATGTATCTACTGTTAGTTAGCACAGAAGAGTGGCACCAACAAAATCTAAAATAAAAATAAAAAGTTTAGAGAGTGAAATTTATACAGAAGTTAAAATTTTGGGTTACAAACTCTCTTCCAAGCACAATTCAAGTTTGAATTGGGCTATTATTGTATCATTGACCCAAATGGCATGCATGGTCAATAAGAGCTATGACATTATAGAAATATAAAATTAAATTTCTACCTCATACCATGTATGAAACATAATCCAAAATGACTTAAGAGAAAAATTGATGATTTGGACACATACATTATTAAATTTCTGTATGATAAATGCCCCTTGAAGAAAATTAAGACAATGATCACTGCAATCCATACAACCAGAGGATTACTATTCAAAATGCATAATCAACTCCAACTTATCATATAAAAAATAGAAAAATGGATTAAATAAATAAAAAGTTATTTAAAAGAGAGAAAGTCCAACTAGATACTAACTATATGAAGATGTATTAATTTCCAATAGTCAAGGAAATCATGCAAATTAAAACAAAATACTATCAAACTGGGGGAAAAATATTAAAATTAAAAGTCTGATAACCTCAGGAAAAGGGAAAAAAGGAAATCTTAGATATTGCCATTAAAAGTATAAACTAGTAGAAAGTGATTACTTGGGACAGGAGAGTTTGGTATATATACATTATGGGCTTAGGATTTCCACTCGAAGTGTGTGCATTAGATAAACTTTCATTCATGTGCACAAGGAAACATGGTAAAAAATGGTCACAGAAATGTTAATAATATTAAAAAGATCTAGAAATCAGAAAATTAATTTAAAAAATGTGCAAGATTTATTGTGCTCTACAGCAATCAAAATAAATTATCATCCTCGAACTATGGTAAAGAACTAAATTTTTAAAAATATAAAGTGGGTAAAAAATAGAAGTTGCAAAAAAATATATGATACCACTTATGTATAATTTTAACACAAAAGGTAGTAGCATACATCATTTATCACAGGGTACATACTCTCCAGGATTACTACAGCATCTAAGAAGAGGAGAGGAGAGGAGAGGAGGTGAACACTTTATCTGTATCTACATCTTACCATGTATGAAAGTGAGAGAGATCTAAAACAACTGTGGCAAAATGGTTCTGTCTATTAAATATGAGTGTGGTTAACTATAAGAATGTTACATTATTTTCTGTGTATTTAAAATATTTTATAATAATAAATGAAAATGAACAGAAACAAATTGAATATACACTGAGATTTACATACTTATACATTCACAAATTATTCAATTTGTTCAGTTTGATAAGGCTGAGTTACGTTCACAATTAGTTTCCTACCACAAACACAAACACAAACACAAACTTAACATAAAAATCAGGAATAAATGTTTTAAAAATATATACTATAGTTAGAGCATATATCCAATAAAGACACATAGTGATAAAAAGAGTAAATAGTAGAGTAAAAACGATAAAATATTAAAGAGCAATATTTATACTTTCAAATGTAATTTAAGACTATGGTTTAGTATTTGTTCAAATAGGAAAAAAATTTGCAACTCAGATGATAAACCCTTGACAACTTCAATTTCTTCTCCATTTATCATGATGTTACTTATTGGTCCAGTTGTGAGGATTTTGGTTTTCTTTATGTTGATGTATAATTCATACTGAAGCCTGTAGTCTTTGATCTTCATCAGTAAGTACTTCAAGTCATCTTCACTTTCAGCAAGTAAGGTTGTGTCATCTGCATATTGTAGGTGTTAATGAGTCTTCCTTTAATCCCAATACCATCTTCTTCTTCATTTAGTCCAAGTTTCTGGCTTATCTGCTCAGCAGACAGATTGAATAAGTATGGTGGAAGGATATAGCACCAACACATACCTTTCCTGATTTTAAACCATGCAGTGTTCCCCTTTTGTTTGAATGACTGCCTCTTAGTTTGTGCACAGGTTCCTCATGAACACAACTAAGTGTTCTGGAATTCCTATTCTTCCTAATGTTATCCATAATTTGTTATGATCCAATAGCTGAATGCCTGTGCATAGTCAAAAACACAGAGCTAAACATCCTTCTGGTTTCTTTTTTTGCTTTTAGCCAAATCCATGTGACATCAGCAGTGGTATCCCTCTTTCCACATCCTCTTCTGAATCTGCTTTGAATTTCTGGCAGTTCCCTATTGACGTTCTGCTGCAGCTGTTTTTGAATTATCTTCAGCCAAATTTTACTTGCAGGTGACATTAATGATACTGTTTGATAATTTCTGCTTTCTGTTGGATCACCTTTCTTTGGAATGTTCAAAAATATGGAACTCTTCCACTTGGTTTGCCAAGTAGCTGTCTTCCACATTTCTCGGCATAGACAAGTGAGTGCTTCTAGTGTTGCACCCATTTACTGAAACATCTCAACAGGAATTCCATCAATTCTTGGAGCCTTGTTTTTCATTGATGCCTGCAGTATAGCTTGGACTTGTTCCATCAGAACCACCAGTTCTTGATCTTATGCTACCCTCCTAAAATGGCTAAATGCCAAACAATTCTTTTTATTACAGTGACCCTATATATCCCTCCTATTTCTTTTGATGCTTCCTGAATCATTCAACATTTTTTCCCTAGAATCCTTTAATATTACAACTGGAAGATTGATTTTTTTCTTCAGTTTGAGAAATGCCAAGTATGTTCTTCCCTTTTGGTTGTCTAACTCCAGGTCTTTTTTTTCATTGTATTATGAACCACCCTTTAAATTCGTGTTCAGCTCTTTTACTTGATTGTATCTTCCTTTTGGGTTAGCTACTCTATGTTTAAGAACAAGTTTCAACTTGCTTACCTGTACAATATCAAAAATTGTATTATTTTACAATTGAGAATTAAATAATTGCCACTAGAAGAATGAGAAATCAAAAAGGCAACAGGCAAATGTTTCCTACTAAATATTAGAGTAGTTGACCATTTAAAATAACACAGACATACCTGTGTGTTCCAGATGTGCACACATTTGTCAAAAGAACCACTTGCCAGATACCTGCCATCAGGACTGAAAGCTACACTGTATACAGGCTCTTGGTGTTTTGTCAAAGTGTGAATGCAAATCCCTCGGTCTACATCCCATAACCTAACAGTAGAATCGAAGGATGCACTGCAAGGGAAAAAAATTATAAGCAATGAAATACTCTCACAGCCCCCACCCCCAATTCATATAGCTGGACCTAAATTCCTTATGAGAGGTAGGATAGGCTGCTAGGAAGAAAGCATTCTGGGAATTGCAAGCTAACCGAGAGGAGGCAGTTTAAAGTAATCTCAAAATTCATGAACTGCATGTAAGTGAGCTAATTCACTGTAATCTTTTTCTTTTTAAATAAGCCCTTTAATTGATGGACCATTTTGAACACTAATGGACCACATTTTACAATTTATCTTTTTTGTAACAAAGTTAAAAAATGTCATTGTACTATGCCACAATTATTGGGGAATTAATTAGTAATTTTTATCAACCAATATTGGCTATGATTGGACATAAGAACTTTTAGGACCTGAAATACTGATAATAAAACCCTGTGTTTAAAAGTTGCAGGATACATTAACATCTCATGGAATCTTCCCTAGTTTTCTCCCATACTTACTGGACATTTTATTTGATAAGACGTATAAAAAGAAGAAAAAAACAAAAATATTACCTTGCTAACATAAGGTTGGCATTTGGATTATTTGTTCCTGGTCCTGTTGGACTCCATTTGATAGTATAAATTTCTTTATTATGTGCTTGCAAATCATGGACACAATTGTCCTGTTTCATACTCCATATCTAAACAATCAAACAAAAAAAAAAAATGTATTCTTCTTCCAAACAATGACCATTCTTAAAATACTATCTTGCCATCCAAAATACAAGTGGTAGAATCAGAATAATGATACAGAAGTCAAAGGAATATTGTCAAGGAAATTAGAATGTAATTGACTATATTTAATACTTACTTATCTAAAATAAATGAGCTCTGAAGGCATAGTGCCTAAGGCATGTGACTGGTAACCAGACGGTTGGTGGTTCAAACCCACCAGCCACTCCAAAGAAGGAAAACTGGGCAATCTATTTCCATAAAGATTTACCACCTCGGAAACCCAAGGAGGGGTCACTATGAGTCAAAACTGACTCAATGGCAGTGAGTTTGGGGTTTTTTATTGTTGGTTTTATCTAAGAAATTATAAATTAGCTTCAAGATATTCCAAAATACTCACTATTGTGAGGGTTGAGGAATGAATTGACTCCAACTATTCTAAGATTATTTTTCTAAATTACTTTTAATAGCGTCATATGGTATAAACTTCAGTATTTAATAAATTCCATGATTAATTACTAAAATGTTGGAAGCATTAGATTTTATGCTATCCCTTTAATTAAAGATCTGTATTATAAATTCCTCTAGAATTTAAAATCTGGAAATATTATACAATGGAGAGGAGAAAATAACTAAGAACTTATTAATACTAATGTTTTATATGTAAGCCGTCATGAGAAGTAACAAAGTTAAAATGGTAGAGAATAAACCTTTACTGAGTGAAAACATACTTTATATATAAATTTTTAAATGAATTATTCTTATAAGCAACAAGAGAAGTTTAAACCAAGAGTATTTTTGTCCAAATCATTCAATAAAGATATGAAAGGGTTGGGAACTTTGCAATATCTTGCCAAACACAAATACCAAAACTAGATGTCAATGAAGAAACAAAAATTAGCTGGATTTCATATTCTGCAACATACAATTTATCGTTTTTGTAACAATTAAAGTTAAAATTGATATAATTCATCAAGTTTGATGAAAGTTATACAACGTAACTGATAATAAAGCAGTATCATGTTTGTTTTTTTTTTGCACTCTGTATTTGTAACTCCAAATGACACATTTCATTTGACTTTTCAATAGCATTAGATATTATAGACCACTCCCATCCCTCTCCTCCCTTGAAATATTCTCTTACACATCTTACCACATTGGTCTTCCTTTTGGAACTATGAGAGAGATGTTCCGAAAGGTTTTAAAATAGCCAGAGTAGCCACACTGTGCAAAACCCCTACCCATTTCTCCTATGATAACCAAATTACCTTCAAAGTCATGTCATCAGAACAGGAGGCCAGGAGATTGCCTGTTGGGTCCCACTTGATAGCATTTACTTCATTCTAAAATTAACGGTAAATATTCACATTTTCACTTTATAGACTGGTTTGCCTTCAGAAATTAAACATACATACTTCACATTCACTCTGAAACATTACTTTTTCATCATCATCACTTTAAGCAGGAAAAAACAAAACAAAACAAAACTGGGGATTTCTCACTGTGTGTCCCTGGAATGTTTTAATAGGTCTGTCTTGTCCCAGTTTGCAGACATGAATGCACATATCTGTACTGCAAGAAGCAAAGGTGTTGTTGCTCTGCCAATCAACATCCAATGCTGGTGCTGGAAAGAAAAAAAAGGTAAAGTTTTCATTTCTTCCACATGTACTAAAATGGAGGCATTTTAGTTTTGATTCATAGTTGGACATTCTTATGTATACTAGTAGTTTTTATACCCTTTAAGAAACTAAGTATTTTTTAAAATTTATGCATTTATATTAATAAATACTAACATTTAAAAATGTCACTTTAGTTGTCTCTATGTGAAGAACAGTCTAATAGAACACTGACCTAGAAAAGGAGTGATTAGGGTGCTTGTCACCTTACTCTACAGATTACTAGCACTGGTCTTGGTTTCTTATTTGTAAAATGGTAAAATTAAACGTGATGATGTAATTCCTTTTACTTTAAAATTCTGTTGAGTGTTCAATGGACACAAAGCCTTGATTCTGCCACTCTCTAATAAGTGAATACTAAATAAGTCACTTAACCTCTATTTCCTCATCTAAAAATAGGGATAATATATACCTTAATTTGTGACACATAGGGATGTTGTGCAAATCTAGTGAGAAGATGTGTGTAAAAAATATCTTACAAATCACAAGAGTTTGACAAATGTTACACCAAAATGAGATCATCCACTCAACTGATGAAGAATATTGCTTATGATTTAAACATGTATTTTCTTTCTAAGTGATTCTTATCAAATACCTCTTAAAATCTACATCAGTGAATTTAAAATTTCACAGGCCCAAAAGCTAGCTGGCATTTAATACTTATTCTGATTTTAGCTCTTGTATGATTAAAGATTTTTCCATTTTCCCCTGCTGTAAGGTGCAAAGGCTCTCTATAATTAGTAATGACAGCAGTAATTGGGTTAAGCAACAGCAACATATTAAGAGCACTGGATTCAGAAAAAGGATCGAAAACTATGGTTCAAGAGCCAAATCCAACCCACTGCCTGTTTTAATGCGGGGCATGAACTAACAATGGTTTTTACATTTTCATTCAGTTGAAGTGAAATTAAAAAAGACACATGGTATATGAAAATATATGAAATTTATATTTTAGTGTCCATAAGTAAAATTGTATTAGAACACAGCCAAGCTTATTCATTTACATATTGTCTATAACTGATTTTCCACAACAACAGCAGATTTGTGTAGTTGTTACAGAGCTCCTATGGCCCACAAAGCTAAATATTTACTTTCCAGTTCTATACGGAGAAAGTTTGTGAATCCTCAATTTAGAGTAGAGATTTAAGACAGGAGGAGAAAAACAAGAGGGTTAAACTGAATTATACGTATTTTTAGAATAGAAAGCATTTTGTAAAGCGGAACAGAGCTGGTGTCTGTGGGATGGACAGAAAAACAGCCATTCCCTAATTGTGTGCATCTAAGTACAGTAGTAACTGAAGAAAATCGCTAGAAAAGAACATGTTTGATAAAGCAGAGGGTCAGTGAAAACGAGGGACACCCTTAACGAGACGGATTGACACAACAGACACAACAATGGACTCAAATACACCAATGATAACTTAGAAAGGAAAAATTAATCAGTATTTTCAGAATTACAGGAAGAAAGTAGAAGAGGGGGGAGACAAAGGGCAATAGGAAAGAAGGAAACTGATTTTATTAACTGGCTAAATAAAGACAACCAAGTAAATAAATACTAAAACTTATAGGTGTAGCTCAAGTAAGCTAAAGACAGTAAATAGGGCCAGACTATGGAAGGACTAGCTTTGGGTGTATTTCTATAATGAGTAGGGGACACTACCTGGATTGAGACTACCCTACACAAAGTAATACTTACAAGATGGGAAGGGAAATGTTTAATGAGCATTTACTGTGGAGGGTATGGAACTTGAGACTATGAGATATTTGATATATTTAACCCTCCCAAGAAGTATTATGAAAAATACAATAGTTTATTAAAAGCATTAATATAAATTCACCTTTGTACAAAATTTCAAATTTTGAGAATTATCCCAAATGAAAACATAACAAAACAAAACAAAAAAAAGAGAATCACATACATTAGATGGTAGGCACGCAATATTTCTACCACTGTCATAAGGCAATAAGACTTTAGCAGTGTGTAGTCCTCACCTGCCTCAATAGCTCCTCCTTCCCTGGGCTGTGTGTCCAATCTCCAGCCTGGGAGTGCTTTGCTGCTAATAACTCCAGTGGTAAAGGTCTCCAGAGAACTATGCTGCTGTGGCCTACGTCCTTTACCCCAAGAGTGTGTATGGCATGGTAGGTGTGCATGTGAGGGGCCTGCCAAATACTAAGCTTTATTAAATATATTAAATATTGTAACTTATTATTGTAAAAACAATTTTAACAAATTGTTCTTGGGTAAATTAACTGTTCTAGTGTCAAGAAGTGGCCAATAAATAAAAGGTGGTCAAGTAACTGTCTATCCTCATTACTCACAGATTCTTTATTTGCACATTTGTCTATCTGCTAAAAAGACTCCTGGTGCTTTTCAGGTCATTTACAAACATGCTCATGAGCATTGTGGCAAGAAATTCCAGGCTGAGGTTGAACAAGGCTAATTCAGTATTTTCTAATTCAGTGTTCACAGGGGCTTTACTGAACAAAACTACCACAAAGAGAACTGCTTGTATATGCCAAGTTGCCAAGCAACTTACAAATGTTAGAGAAAAGGGTAAGAAAAACAAGTACATCTTTACATTCTTAAAGAAGGAAAGAAATGAAAACAAAAGAACAAACCAAATTGTATAAACCAAGTTAAATTACTTGGGGGAGGTGGGAGAGGAATGCTGCCACATGGTTGTGTGATTAATCGTCAAATAAAATGGTTACAGATTGATCTAATCTAAAAACACATACCTCCTTAATTTTACATTTATTCCTAAAATAATTGAGTCTAGAAAATATGAATTCTTTAGGAATGCATTTACCATGTATTTTTATGTAAGTGGTAATGTGAAGGGTGTATGTTTGCTATTACTGGTCTTACTTTAAACATGATAAAAGAGGTTATTAAGAAAAATTCATTAATCTGTCCAAGGTTATGCAATCTTTTGAAATCCAGGAACAAAGATTAAAATTTTGCCTACCCAATTCTAATTTAATTTCACTAATCCATGAAACCTCCAAAATTTAAAAAGGGAAAGAATAAACCTATGAGGAAGGAGAGAAAGGCACATTTGTTACTCATCTACCTTTTACGCTTAAGCTAGAGTTTACATGGTAGAAAATGATGTAATCAAAAATATAGTTAATTAAAGATGCATAATAAACTTCTATTTCCAACCAAGATGGAGTAACAAGGACTAAATTTACCTCCTGTCCAAAACAAACAAAAAACTTACAAAATGTATGAAATAACAATTTAAGACACCGGACATCAGGCAATGAAGGACACTTGTCCCTGACAGACAATAAATTAACAAAATGCCCCCAAATTGCCCAAGCTTATGATCTAAAAAGAATTTCCCAGTCATAGCACAGGAGAGGATGATTCTCCTTAGGGAAAATCAATGGGAATCATGAATTCAGGAGACAAAGCTGGTCTGGGGAAAACAAGGGAGCTCAGGTTCTAAGAGTATTAAAGAAGAGAGAACTACAAAGAGATTTGTAAAAGATGCAATGAGTATCATTCATGCATTCAGCTGATTACTAATTGGCACAGGTATGTGAAGAAACCAGGTGAGGCAGGAAAAAGAACCATTCAAAAGGATTAGAAGAAAAAACTCCTGATATTCAAGATATAAACTGGGAATAGTGCTGATAATCCTACCAGTCTCCAGTGTATGTAGTAAATCACATAGTGTGGCTTTTCTAGCCATAGTCTTTATAAACTTAGTGGTGGGATATGCCACCAACAATTAAGTAGCTCCTAATTGTTAAAGTTATCCACCTGGGGTATTTCTGTTGCGAGTAGCAAGAAGCAATTTTCTGGGAAGTTCACTGTCTCTCAGGTGTGTGGAACTCTGGTATTGGGAGTGGTTGATTTTGCCATGCTTCCGGGCTTGAAGTGAGCCCTCCTAGAGGCAGAGAAGGTGAATAGCTCTCGTTGCTGGCTGAGAGAGATGCGTGGCTAAGAGTCTGACCTGTTACTGAAAGAGATGCTCAGCTGAGAGACAGCAGCAGTGGAACCAAGAGACATGAGACAGAGCATCAGACTTAACTGGCACAGAGAGGCAGAGGCCAGGCCGAAAGACCAAGGGCCATAGAGGTTTTATTTTTTCCAAATAAAAAAAAACAGAGAAGGAAAACTGTGGTGGGGTGTGTGTGTGTGTGGGGGGGGAGAATATGAACAGTAAATTGTGGTAAAACTTCAAGTGGATTACATAAAGTAGTCAGAGCCTCAGGTAAAAAGGGGAAAGCAGGAGGAAAATAATTGAAAATATGGTCACAAAATTTTCATATTTGGTGCAAATTACGAACTAACAAAACGAGGAAGCCTAAAGAACTCCAAAGTCAAGAAACATGAAGCAAACTTATCAAGACACAACACAGTCCAACTGTTGAAAAACAGCGGTACCAAGAAAATCTTAAAAGCAGTCAGAGAAAAAAAAGATAATTTATGTACAGATAAGCAAAGACAAAAATATAACAGATTTCTTGTCAAAAATAATGCATATGGAGCAGGGCAACATATTATTTAAAGTACTGAAAGGAAAAGAAAAAAAAAAATCTGTCAACCCAGAATTCTATACCCAGCAAGATGGCTTTCAAAAATGATGGAGAAACACTTTTTCAGACATAAAAAAAGTCAGAGTTCACAGCAGACTTACACTATAAGAAATGTTAAAAGAAGCACTTCAGGCAGAAAATAATAATAATAATAATACACATCTATGCAAAGGAATAAAGAGCAACAGAAATGTAGCTACATGCATAAATTAGATTATTGTTTAATCTCTTTAAAATACCACTTGAAGGCAAATAGTGATAAATTAAGATGTATACTGGAAATCACTAAAATAATAAAAGAATTACATTTAATAGGCCAAAAAAAGGAGAAATAAAGGTAATCATAACAATATTAAATTAAGCAATCCAAAGGCAGAAAAGGGGGGGGGGAAGAGAT